GATACGCGGGACGACCAGCCAGGCAAGTCAAGCACTTGCAGATGGCAGACGACACAGGCGTTGTGCTCAAAAACGATACCCTAGGAAGTCTCAGCCATCCTGCATCATTTCGCTATCACCGAGGACTGTGGGGTGCTCGAGCCCAATGCCCTGCAAAACAAATATAACGAGAGGACGCATCACGACTTCCGAAGCGTCGTATCATCACCAGGTACGGTCCCCTCGTCATCAGGCGCTGCCTCGTCATCAGGCGCTGGCAGGCTTTTCCGATGAGACAAGAGACGCAAAGCAGCAGGACACGATCAGATTTTAGGAGACCTACTTGCTGGACAGGCACGATCACTATCGAGACCATGCGGGCCCATGTCCGCAAAGGTGAGCATGCATCAACAGGAGCCTTTCAATGAAAACACGGCACGGCTTTCCATGTGTACGAGGACGAGGGCGCCCCAGCACTGTTGGTACATAAACCTTCGATTACATTACATGGCGGATTCTGGAAACCCTGAACCCAACAACGTTTTCATCTCTTGGGGGCGCATCTTTTACTTCCGCCGCCTTCTGCTAGCCTTCCCCTGGCTTCCGCCGGCATCCGCTGGCGGAGGCGGCCTCGTTTTACTTCCGCCGACATTCCGCCGCCCTTCCGCCACATTCCGCCGGGAAAGAGATGACATCTCCTTCTATCCTCGAAGGCGAGGCCCTTTTTGGAACGCCTCGGATGGGAACATGAGCAAGTGCACTGCTTGGAGCTGATGCTCAGAGACGCCCAGAGCCAGAGCGGAGGACGACAGCACGACGAGGACCGGCTCCACATGCACATCTATGAACGAGCTTCCTCCGAGTGTGCAGGAAGAGCGGCATTTGGTCATCCTAGCAGGTCGCTGGTGCTACCGACCACTCAGGATGACGGAGACCGAGACCGCATGCTTCGTAACCACGCAAGTCCTCTGATAACGCGCACTTTCTTTTCACAGTGATATTAGAGTACCGTAGGGCCTTGGCACAGTTGGCCGACGCTCCCCACCTGCCAGCGGCGCTGGTCGAAAGACATCGGGACATCCGCTTTGAAGTAGAGGGAGAAGGGTGCAATTTGTCGGCTCGTTCGCGTCTCGGATCACGTCCTGGAAGCTTACTTGCAAACGAAGTATTCAACATCTCCCTTGCCAAGCCGCTCAACACGATCGAGAAGCCAGTACAAAGATTGGGCGCGACGCTGAAGTCGGCAAGTGAATCGGGCTTCGCCTTCGAGCTCGACTTGTCAGATATCAGCCTGTCGGACACCTCCGTTGCCGATGACCGGCTGCATTCGCTTCCTCCACCCTCTACTACCAGAACCATTGCTCGTGCAGGTGAGGCAATCGACACCGCGCATGAGAACATGTTAACTCACGGATTCACGGTCAACTACCAGCAACATGAGAGCAGCCTGATGATCGTCCTGACAGGAGCGGGGGCATCCGACATACGATTGCAGCTGCAGGCTCAAGATAAGATGGTGATATCCACAGCAAGGTGGTGCGTCGAGGTGCATGTGCTCCGGTGCTACACACAACCCGAGATGCTAAGTGGATTGAGGAGTCTGCATTGGGGCGGCGGGTGGCCGTGGCAGCAGCAAAGCAGCGTTCGGCCTGCGACCCGAATGGTAACCAAGGTGCACAAGCTCAGCGCGCGCTCGAGGAGATGATCATCCCCCATGTGTTAGACAACGTCCGTCTCTTATACCGCACGGAGGCGTGCTCGGAAGCTACACCAGCTCAACTACGAGCACTGGAAGGCCCAGGAATCGCAGCCTCCCCATGCATGCTGAGGAGGACTCATCATTCAGAATCGAGCACCTACACCACGGATTCAGAGACACTGTGGATGGAAAATCGAGTGGGCATGGTTTCAGTTCTCAGGCCACGGCGGATCACTTATTTCGGACCGCTTTGTGCTCATGCACCGAAGCAGCTGTTCTTTCTGGTAGATCTGCGATCCGACCAAGGAGATTAGTGGGCTGAATTTCTTCGGGGGGATCTTCAATGGGCAATTGAGAGCGGTTCTGAAAGAAAATGTTCAAATTGGACAGTGACGGATGGCTCCGCTTTGCGTCAGGCTCGCCCCGGGAACACAAGTCACTGATCAACCGAGTCTGTAAGTGTGTGCCACGCCAGCTTGACCGCCTCCATCAGACCTTCCGGTAACGAACGGTTGGCAGTACTTGCGCGCGCATCGAGGAGACCACGCCGAGTCAAGTCCGCTACATCTGCTGCGAATGCGGGGCAATGATGGTGAGTGTAGCTGCGTGGAGGCGTCACCAACTCGAACATGACCCGATTGACGTGGCACAGAGGGCGGGGTAATATGTACAATGTGCAGCGTGCGGCACGACATTCGGCAACATATCCATGTTGATGAGGCATGCGAGACAAGTTGGCAACATTGCGCGCATTGGCGAGAGGAGAACACCAGAGTGCTACATAGGGAGGAGGCCGTTGTGTTGAGGGAGAAGACCTAGATATTGAGAAAGGACAGGCGCACCGTAGGTACCATCGTCTTATGAGTACGTCGTACAGCACGGAAGCCAGTACTTGAAGCAGGGTCAGGAGATGTCAGACAGTAGGGAAGCCGAGGAGAGCCATACCACCTAGCACCACCACCCAAAAGATTGATCGACCATCTTCCTGCCGATCCAACTCTACATCGTGATCATGTACGGTGAACAGGTGTGGACGTGCACCACATTTACCATAGGGCTGAATACCAAGGCGATCTGAGCACCTGGGTGAAAGATACCTCGAAGGACATTGGGGTCGTCACAATACCAAGGCCGGCCGAAACCGAGAAGATGAAGGACTGGAAGCTAGATGATGATTTGGTACGATCGCTGATTCCATGTACGTATGCCCAGTGGGCTGGGGAAATGTCCGATCATTGCCCCGATGCTGCAATCATTGAGATGGACTGGGGCTACAGCCTTGACATCTGAAGGTGAGCACATTATTTGCGGAATGATGCTGGAGCTGCTGGAAGGACTGGCAAGCGACGGCGCAATATCATTATACGTTCGACTCAGCAGACGTGGGGCCAGCCTGGCCTTCTCGCACATCTGACGAAAGAGATACTGACGGGCAATCTAGAATTGACAGCTAGTGCATATCCTCGTTTTGCTGCCGCAGATCTTGGTATTCCAGTTGTGTTTGTTGCTCCAACTGAGAGGTTGGCTGTAGCGTGCTATTTGGCTGGTGAGCTGAAGGAGGTGTACTCGTCAGCAGCGAGTTCGGCATGAACAGCTTCAGCATCGAGAGGCAGAGGTGGCTTCCGATCTCTCGCGGCTCTGCACGCGTATTTGTCACTCGTCGATGATCTGCCAAGGCCACCTCCTACTGGCACTACGGCGGTGCCTCAGGGGAAATGACCACTTGCTCACGCAGGCACTGTTGGCAAAGCTGTTTTGGCGGACAAGATGGCACTCTCGCCCTTGAGGGCGCTAAAATTATCCAGGTTTGCTTGTTCTCGGAGCATGGCTCCTTGTCCCTTCTGCAGCGGCTTCGACTGCGATGAATGTAGTTGGTTGAAGTCAATGCTGTTCCAACGTCCCTCCGCCTGCACGTCGGCCGCGCCTACCGCAGCAACAACAACTATTCTGCGGGTGGCGAAAGTGACAGGGCGGGGGGATAGACCCTGAGCGCCACCCAGGGGCCCCACCAGCTGCGCTGCCAATCCTGCCCTGTTGCAGTCTCCCTGTGCCGCCTCCCTCCTGCTCCCGCTCTGGCTCGCCGTCTCTCTCATCCCATCAGCCTCGTCCCATCTCTCTGTGCGCCCGTGCTTGTCCATCCGTGTTGCCTCCCTCTCGTCGCCGCCCCTGTGCCTTGCCCTTTGCTGCTGCCTGCTCTGTTTCTCACTGCACGTCCTGTGCTTGCATTCTCGGGCCTTCTCGCGCACGACGCGCCGCGCCCGTTTCCTGCGCCGCTCGTCAGCCTGACGAGCGGCACTGCGCTACTCGTGCTATCCTTGGGGGGGCGTCGCTGCGCCACCCATATAGTGACCCCCAGGCTGGGCCGGTCTGCCTTCTCAAGCTCCGGGACATCAGCTCAGCTCGCAGGCATCGGTCTCCCGGTTTTCGGGCGCCCCTCTTGCTGCCAGGGTGGTAGAAGCATGTGGAGGTGGGTCTACGTCATCTTCGTTTCGAGGTGGGAGGCAGGGCTGTCCATCATTCTCTAACTCTTCTCCGAGCTCCTGCTGGGCTAGGCTAGGCTGGCTCGGCCCGCGCGCGCGGGCGCGACTGACGCCACGAGCGCTTCGCCCGCTCAGCGGCCTCCCCCCCCCCAAAAAAAGAAAACAGGGGTGTCCCGAAACGCGGTGGCCGCAGTCTCCTCCTCGACTGCGAGCTGCCCTGCCGGGGCTCTTCGCTCTAGGTTCCGCTCCGGAGTGGCCCCGAGCCTGCTCTGGGGTTCTGCTGTCCCCATCGCACTGGAGGACCAGATCCCAGAAATGATTTCGAGCACCCCGAAAAGTATCCAAAACAGTGTCGAACGAGTATCGCCTCCCAGAGCCCGACACTTGAAAACCCTCCTGTTTCGATACTTGCTTGGTGCTCGAAATTCTTCCGGGTGGTTCAGACTGAAGTAGGTTGGAAGATCATAGCGCTGGGGCGGCTTCTTCCGAACCCCATGACCATGCTGCTCTCTCGGCCTCTAGCCGAGGACATCGAGGGCAGAGGCGCCCTGCCGCCCTTGCAATCGCAACAAGGAGGCGAGGGAGGAGGAGGAGGTGGTGGTGTACGAGGAGGAGGTGGTGGTGGACGAGGAGGAGGAGGAGGAGGAACTGACGCCTCGAGCGCTCGATCCCGCCGCATGCCCCCTCCCCCCCAAAAAACGGAAGGAGGTAAAGGAGGAGGAGGAGGAAGAGGAGGAGGAGGTGGTGGTGGAGGAGGAGGGGGAGGCGGAGGAGACGGAGGAGGAGGAGGAGGAGGAGGAGGAGGAGCAGGGGGGAGCGGTGAAGGCGGTGGCGGCAAGGTCCTCGTCGCGATGATCCGGGAGACCTGGTGCAGCATCTGGGAGGTATGGGTGGTGGCGTCATAGGTGGTCGAGAGCACGACGTTGTCGAGCTGATCCCCCAGCGTCTCGGTGGTGCGCACGGCGTCCTCGAATTTGCGCGCGTAGAGGTCTGCGTAGACGTTGCCGTAGCTGAGCCTGTCGCGTCGGAGGACAAAGGGGGCATCCAGCTCAGGAGGGTCACCAGAGCGCCCCCCCCCCCACGAGAAGACTTCCCAAGGGAGCGCCAGAGCTCCGGCTGGGAGCTCCCGTGCAGTGCCTCGAGTCCGCCATGGGCCACCAAGTGGGATTCTTCTCGTGGGACCGCACATGGACGTGGCACAAGATGCCCCCAGACCCCCCGAAATTCAGATTGATGGCGTGACGACGGGGGGGGGGGCGTGAGTGGACAGAAAGATTCAAAACCCCAAAGCACCGCCGTTACTGAGATCAACAGTGGTGTCGGGGGAGTGGGGGTGATTTAGAACCCCTCTCGAACGTGTAGGGGTTCGAAAGTATCGTCCATCTACTGGGGGCCGCCCTGGTGACCCTGCTGGAGCCCACGCGCATCGGCTCACGCAGCCCGTTGCTCCGGCGCCTGCGGGCGCCAGCGGCGCCAGTCAGTCGAGGCATGCGCCCCGCGACGGGGCCGAGGTCAGCTGCATGCTGCGGATTTCGTACCCCCCCCTCCCAGACATGTGACGCCCTGACTTTTTCAATGCGGAGTTCCTGGAATCGGCTACACGCAAGAGTGACCCTGGGTAAGAGTGACCTTTGGTGCGCGGCTTTTGGGGGGCCGCGGGGGGACCAAACTCAGGCGCGCAAGACGCTACTATCGCATCGTGATCGGTGATCGGGGGACCCCATTGTGCCCGCACCAAAGGTCACTCCGGCGAAAGGTCACTCTTACGTGTAGTCGACTGGAAGTCCCGACCCTTTCCCCGGGGCCGGTTTTTCGTCCTGAGTCGCTTCTTGACGGTCCCGAGGCCCGGCGAGGGCCCCCCGAGGCCGAAAAGGGCGAGAAACCTCCCGTCCTGTTTTTTTTCCACGACGCGATCATGCCTGGGCTTCCTCCCCCTTTCGTCCGACTAGAGCCTGGTGCTGTTCCCCACGATGTCCTTCGGAGGACGCCAACTGCCCAATACTGACCAAGCCGAGCCTGGGCCCAGGACCGCTGCATGTCCCCGTGCGCTCCCCTGGCCAAGCCAGGAGGGCGGCGTACATCAAGGAGCCCAAGGACACACAAATATGCACACAAATCCTAAGAATCCCCAGACTTTGTCATATTTTCTGGGTTCTCGTCGTCCCCCACCCTTCACATATTTCCCGACCATCATGCGGTGTTGAGTCCTAATTTTGAAGAGACGGCGCCCGCGTTCACTCCTCCTTCTCCTCTGGCTACCCCCTCCCTCCTCTCATCATCATCATCATCATCATCATCATCATCATCATCATCATCATCATCATCATCATCATCATCATCATCATCATCATCATCATCATCGTCATCATCATCATCATCATCATCATCATCATCATCGTCATCATCATCATCATCATCATCATCATCATCACCATCACCATCACCATCACCATCACCATCACCATCACCATCACCATCACCATCACCATCACCAACATCATCACCATCACCATCAGCATCAGCATCAGCATCAGCATCAGCATCAGCATCAGCATCATCATCATCAACATCATCATCCTCATCATCAACACCATCATCGTCATCATCATCATCATAATCAGAATCAGCATCATCATCAACATCATCCTCATCATCATCATCATCATCATCAGTACCATCGTCATCATCATGGGCATCATCAGCATCATCAGCATCATCAACATCAGCATCAGCATCAGCATCATCAGCATCATCATCATCAACAACATCATCAAAATCATGATGATGATCATCATCATGATGATCATCATCATGCTCATCATCTTCATCACCCTCATCACCATAATCATAATCCTCATCACCATCACCATCATCAGCAGCAACATCACCATCATCGTCATCGTCATCGTCATCAGCATCATCACCAGCATCATCGTCATCGTCATCGTCACCATCACCATCAGCATCAGCATCAGCATCAGCATCAGCATCAGCATCAGCATCACCATCATCACCATCACCATCACCATCACCATCACCATCACATCACCATCACCATCACCATCAGCAGCAGCAGCAGCATCAGCAGCTCAGCATCAGCATCAGCATCAGCATCATCATCATCATCATCATCATCATCATCATCATCATCATCATCATCATCGTCATCGTCATCATCATCATCATCATCATCATCATCATCATCATCATCATCATCATCATCATCATCATCGTCATCACCTGTTTCAGCAGACTCTTTTCACGCTTCATGGTTCCATCGGGAGCCCCACAGAAGGCCCAAATGCCAGCGTTCGCATGCGCCCGCTGCACCCATTTTGGCACACCCCTCACACGTTTCGTGGCTCCATCGAGAGCCCCACCGAAGGCCCAAATGCCAGCGTTCGTATGCGCCCGCAGCACCTATTTTGGCACCCCTCACACGTTTCGTGGCTCCATCGGGAGCCCCACCGAAGGCCCAAATGCCAGCGTTCGTATGCGCCCGCAGCACCCATTTTGGCACACCCCTCACACGCTTCGTGGCTCCATAGGGAGCTCCTCCGAATGCAGTGCATACGACGACGGTATGCACAACTTCATATGGCTGGGTCCATCGCCAGGCTAATTTCCCATACTTTCCGGGGAATCGGCGATTGTATGTGTCTCTGTGTGTTTTTCCCTCCTGAGTAAACAAGGGCCTCCCAGCTAGGATCGGGGCAGACGGGGTCGGAGGATCGCACCTCGCCGTCGACGCATCACCAATTCATCGGCGATGCACTGGCGAAGTCAACGATGCATCGGTGACGTCGGCGTGGAGAAGATCGGGACCCACGTCGATCCGCATCGCCGCTGCAGCGGCGCTGCAGCGGCGCTGCGGCGGCGACGCGGCGCGGTCCTCCTACCACACTTGCTCTGGCCCCCTCCAGGAGGCTAGACAAGCGCGTTCCACGACTCGCAAAGCAACTGCTCGCACATGGCTTGGATCCGCCGCCTGGGACTTACGATCCGTTACGTGGGCCCAGACCCCTGACGCCATGACCTTTTCGTGACGTTGACCCTTAGAGGTCCCGACCCCTTTCCCAGGGCCTGCTCTTTATCCTGAGTCGTTTTGTTGATGGTCCCGAGGCCTGTCAGGGCCCCCTCGGAGGCAGAAGATAGCGAAAAACCTTCCGTCCTGATTTTCTTCCCCACATGTTTCGTGGGGTTCTGGTTTTCTTCCCACCCGCGTCGCACCCACGTCTCCCTCACCATTTCCCCTCCTCCCTTTTCCTCTCCTCACCACACAGCACATTGACACACAGCACGTACACAACACAGCACAGCACAGCACTAGTCAGCACAGCTCAGCTCAGCTCAGCTCAGCACAGCTCAGCTCAGCTCAGCACAGCACAGCTCAATACAGCACTGCACAGCATAGCACCTCAGCACAACACAGCTCAGCACAGCACAGCACTGCACAGCACAGCACGACTGTCGTCCAGGACACAGCAGGCGTGGCGTTTTGTCGACACCATAGGGGGTGCGCACGGGGTGGTCCCTGAGGGCGGCCGCTATGCGTGACGGTCGTCCAGGGCATAGCAGGCGTGGCGTTGTCTCGACACCACAGGGGGTGCGCACGGGGTGGTCCCTGAGGGCGGCCGCTATGCGTGACGGTCGTCCAGAGCGCAGCGGGCGTGGCGTTTTCTCGACACCGGCGGGGGTGCGCACGGGGTGGTCCCTGAGCGCGGCCGCTATCCGTGACGGTCGTCCAAGGCACGGCAGGCGTGGCATTTTCTCGACACCACTGGGGGTGCGCACGGGGTGGTCCCTGAGCGCGGCCGCTATCCGTGACGGTCGTCCAGGGCACAGCAGGCGTGGCGTTTTCTCGACACCACAGGGGGTGCGCACGGGGTGGTCCCTGAGCGCGGCCGCTATCCGTGACGGTCGTCCTTGCGGTATCGGCGGGGCAACGGCCACCAACATCATTATCACATGCTTCACTTCAGCTATCATCACTCCAGCCATAATATAAATATGTGGGGTTCCTCGGTAGCGTAATTTTGCGACGCGGACGTGTCGGGGAAGGAAACTATGTGCTTCTGTCGGACGTTTGCGCGTAGGCACTCTGTGAGCAGTGGAACGCGCTCGCCGAAAGGCCTTGTGCTAGGTTGGGCATGTCCTCCAACCTAGCCCAAGGCCTTTCGAGAAAACGCCACGCCTGCCGTGCCCTGGACGACCGTCACGTATGTTTTCCGCGCTCAGGGACCACCCCGTGCGCACCCTCGGCGGTGTCGAGAAAATGCCACGGCTGCTGGGGCAAGGACGACCGTCATGGATAGCGGCCGCGCTCAGGGACCACCCCGTGCGCACCCCCTGTGGTGTCGAGAAAACGCCACGCCTGCCGTGCCCTGGACGACCGTCACAGATAGCGGCCACCCCGTGCGCACCCCCTTGTGGTGTCTAGAAAACGCCACGCCCGCTGTGCCCTGGACGACCGTCAAGGATAGCGGCCGCGCTCAGGGACCACCCCGTGCGCACCCCCTGTGGTGTCGAGAAAACGCCACGCCTGCCGTGCCCTGGACGACCGTCACGGATAGCGGCCGCGCTCAGGGACCACCCCGTGCGCACCCCCTGTGGTGTCGAGAAATCGCCACGCCTGCTATGCCCTGGACCAGGGCCGCGCTCAGGGACCACCCCGTGCGCACCCCCTTGTGGTGTCGAGAAAACGCCACGCCTGCCGTGCCCTGGACGACCGTCACGGATAGCGGCCGCCCTCAGGGACCACCCCGTGCGCACCCCCGGTTGTCGAGAAATCGCCACGCCTGCTTTGCCCTGGACGACCGTCACGCATAGCGGCCGCCCTCAGGGACCACCCCGTGCGCACCCCCTGTGGTGTCGAGAAAACGTCACGCCTGCTATGCCCTGAACGACCGTCACGCATAGCGGCCGCCCTCAGGGACCACCCCGTGCGCACCCCCTATGGTGTCGACAAAACGCCACGCCTGCTGTGCCCTGGACGACCGTCGTGCTGTGCTGTGCAGTGCTGTGCTGAGCTGTGCTGAGCTGTGCTGTGCTGAGGTGCTATGCTGTGCTGTGCAGTGCTGTGCTTTGCTGTGCTGAGCTGTGCTGTGCTGAGCTGAGCTGAGCTGTGCTGTGTTGTGCAGTGCTGCGGTGCTATACTGTGCAGTGCTGTATTGAGCTGTGCTGTGCTGAGCTGAGCTGTGCTGTGCTGAGCTGAGCTGAGCTGAGCTGTGCTGACTAGTGCTGTGCTGTGCTGTGGTGTGTACGTGCTGTGTGTCAATGTGCTGTGTGGTGAGGGAGGAGGGGAGGTGATGAGGAAGACGCGGGTGCGACGCGGATGGGAAGAAAACCAGAACCCCACGAAACGTGTGGGGACAAAAATCGTCCCCTGACTATTTTTTACTCGAACCCAAACATGCGACGTCCTTACTTTTTCCATACGCGGTCCATGTGGAAATCCCGACCCTTTCCCCGGGACCGGCTTTTCCATCCCGAATTGTTTTTGGCGCTCCCGAGGCCCGGCGAGGGCCCCCCGAGGCCGAAAACTGGCAAAGACCTTCCGCCCTGATTTTCTTACGACGCGACCGTGTCTGGGAACACACTCCTCCTGCAGAGGGACACGCCAGACTTGAGCCTCGGGCACACGCCGGCCCTAAGGCCGGCGGGGGGCGGCCCGCCACCGTCCCCCCCGCGGGAAGCTCCTTCATCTGCTCGTACCTGGGGGGGGCAGAGGAGGGGGAGGAGGAGGAGGAGGAGGAGGAGGAGGAGGAGGAGGAGGAGGAGGAGGAGGAGGAGGAGGAGGAGGGGGAGGAGGAGGAGGAGGAGAAGGAGGAGGAGGAGGAGGAGGAGAGGAGGAGGAGGGGGAGGAGAAGGAGGAGGAGGCGGAGGCGGGGGGAGGGAAGGAGAAAGGAGGAGGAGGAGGAGGAGGAGGAGGAGGAGGAGGAGGAGGACAAGCTAGGTGCGCTCGCGTCATATCTGACATCCTACCCCTCCCTCCCATCCCTTACCATGGCGTAGATCCCCTCTCTACTCGCAGTCGGATGTCGAGCAGGGCAATGATCGCGAAAGGGTACGCGATGCATTGTAGAGCACGGCATGGCATGGCGTAGAAGAGCACCGCAAAGCGTAGTATCAACCTAGCATTGCATTGCATGCCGTGGCATGGCACGGGAAATGACGCCAGCGCTGCAGCGGGAGCACGAGTCGAAACGAGCGGAAGCGCGGAAATGAGGCCAGCGCTGCAGCGGGAGCACGATTCGGAACGAGCGGAAGCACGGAAATGAGGCCAGCGCTGCAGCGGGAGCACGATCGAAACGAGCGGGCAAATGAGGCCGCGCTGCAGCGGGAGCACGATTCGGAACGAGCGGAAGCACGGAAATTAGGCCAGCACTGCAGCGGGAGCACGATTCGGAACGAGCGGGGCCCGAAAATGAGGCCGGCGCCTCAGCGAGAGCAGCATTTTGAAAAAATGCAAGCGAAAACCCACTCCCGGGAATCCTGTGTGTAAAAAACAGTACGCGGGGGGGGGTCGAACACTCCCAGCACGTCATCAGGGGAAGAGGGAGAGTAGTATTCATATTGAGTAATTGTGGAGGAGGGGGAGGAGGAGGAGGAGGAGGAGGAGGATGAGGAGGATGAAGGAGAAGGAGGAGGAGGAGGAGGAGGAGGAGGAGGAGGATGAGGAGGAGGAGGAGGAGGGGGAGGAGGAGGAGGAGGAGGAGGAGGAGGAGGAAGACGGAGGAGGAGTGAGGAGGGAGGAGGAGGAGGAGGAGAGAGAGGAGAGGAGGCGAGGAGGAAGGGGGAGGAGGAGAGGAGGAGAGGAGGAGGAGAGGAGGAGGAGGAGGAGGAGAAGGGGGGAGGAGGAGGAGGAGGAGGGGGGAGGAGGAGGAGGAGGGAGGAGGAGGAGGAGGAGGAGGAGGAGGAGGAGGAGGAGGAGGAGGAGGAGGAGTAGGAGGGGAGAGGGGGAGGAGGGGGAGGAGGAGGAGGAGAGGAGGAGAGGAGGAGAGGAGGGAGAGGTAGGAGGAGGAGGAGGAGGGGAGGGAAGGAGGAAGAGGAGGAGGAGGAGGAGGGAGGAGAGGGGAGGGAGGGAGGAGGAGGATGAGAGGAGGAGGAGGAGGAGGAGGAGGAGGAGGAGGGGGACGAGGGGGAGGAGTAGGAGAGGAGAGGAGGAGGAAGGAGAAGGAGAGGCGTCGCTGCTCGAGCACGGCACTAGCTGCCGCGAGCTTTGGCGACCCATGCGTGTCTCTTGAGTGGGGGGGGGGGTGGTGGGGGGGAGGGTCGGAGGCCCTGCTTGAGGCCGCAAACACGGGTTTTCACATCCGCGTACAGGAACCTGCCGCTCACAGGCGTGAGCGCAAGCGGAGAACCTGGGCCAGGATCCTGGTTCGACTGGAGGCAGCACGACGGCGACTTCAGGCTCACCACAGTGCTCAGCAGCAGGCCATGGCTTCTGGCGCCCGCGGCAAGTGGACGTGCGGCGACTGCGGCAAGCGCGTGCAGCCCTGGCATTGGCACTGCCGCTGTGGCTCTGGCTATGCCAATCGTCGTACGCGCTCTCAGAGCGCTCATGGCCGCCCCACGGATCGTGCCGTCCAGGCCAACGATCGCAAGGCGGCCGCCCTTGCCCAGAAGGTGCCACCGTCTCTGTCCTTCGAGGCCACGGCCCACGAGGACTGGCACAAGTGGGAGCCGCCGACGAACGAGGACCAGCTGCCGCAGTTCCGCAAGTCCGCCAGGGAGCGCATCAACACGCTGGCCAAGCTAGCGGTTGCCAACGTCCAGGCCTCCAAGTCGGACGAGGCCGAGCGTGCCGAGATCGGCATGATCCTTTACGCGCTGAGCACGCTCAAGCCGCTGGGTCATCAGTTGGCGGACGCGCGCACTCGCTCCATGGAGTACGAGAATCAGCTCAAGGAGACGAGGCAGAAGATCCAGCAGCTCGAGGATGCAGCCGACGAGCTGGAGGACAAGATCTCGGACCATCGCGAGATGATCCAGAACCTGGAGCAGGCCATCCAGGACGCGTCCATCAGGGAGGCCGCGGAGCGGGACCAGCGCATGCAGGCGGCCCCTGCCCAGCCTGGGACGGTCCCGCCGCCGCCGCCGCCACAGGCTGCCGCTGGCGCGCCCAGGCCGTGGCCCACGGACCCGCGCCCTGCGGTACCGCCGCCTGTCGCTGGGATGCCGCCCAGCGTCTACTACACGGCGGACCAGCAGCAGACCCTGGCCACGGCGGTGCAGATGCTGCTCTCCAGGCAGGACCATATGGAGGCGCTCATGACGAACATGGTCGGCGGCAAGGGCATCGGCCAGACGGCGGCCGCCATCCACCAGGCGCTGCTGCTGCAGCAGGGCAAGGGTGCTCCCTGCCCTGCCCCGCCGATGCCGCCGCCAGGGCAGGCCCCTCCTGCCATCCCGATGGATGGCGGGCCGCCTCCCCAGGCATGCCCCACGGCTGCAGCCTCGCCACTTGCGAAGGCCCAGCCACCTGCTGCTGCTGCTGCGGCGCCGCCTGCTGGCTTTGGGCCTGCGCCAGTCCTGGGGTTTACCCAGGCGCCGCCCTCGTCGGCGGCGGCAGCGGCGGTGGCTCCCAGCCCGGGCGCGAAGGGCTTTTCGAAGGGCTCAGGAGGCTTGGCAACGACTCCGCCGTGGAGCCCCACTACGCCAGACTTTGGCCAGGCGAGTGTCAGCCAGGTGATGTGCGGGCTCTTCAACATGATGAATCCGACCCCTGGTGCCGCCGCCCCTTTGGCTGCGAAGGTGCCTCCGCTGGCCCCTGGCATGGGCCTCCCGCTGCAGCCTGGGGCGCCGAGGGATGCGGAGCCCATCCCATCCACAGCCAGTGCCGTGGAGTTCCCCTCACCCACACAGATGTGGGGGCCAGGGGGCATCGCCTCGCAGGAGGCCAAGGCCACGGCGCGCCTCTACGCGACGGCGCCAGCGATGACGGCAGCCGCGGCTGGTGCTGCAGCAACGGAGGAGGTGCGGCCCCTGGACCCCAGCCTCCTGGCGACGACGCAGCCCGTGGAGATGGCCACGCAGGAGGTGGTGCCTGGCCCTGCTCAGAGCGTCACGGCCATGCCACCGCCTGCGCCTCAGGGTGTGATGCCGCCCGCGCCGAAGGCACCGCCCTCGGCGGCTGCGGCGGCCAGCGTCCCCCCAGCTCAGCGCGAGGCAGCCTGCGTCACTCCGGCCTCTCCAGCGCGGCCCGCGAGGATCAAGCATCCGATGCTGGAGCCCACGGGGGAGTCGCCGCCGCACAAGAGCAACACGCTGCCGCACGACCCCGCTCTCTGAAGCTTGACAAAAGGGTCACGTTTGGCGAGACCACTGTCATCCACATTTCTGCTGACGTTCACTGTGACGTGCAAGGTGCTGTAGGGACATCACCTTCTAATACTACTTCGGTTTCTCCAGTGGTTGAACTTCTGCATGCAGACGGGCATGAGCTTGCTACTCATGAGCTGCATCTTCGACCTGCTGCTGGACACCCCCCACTACTACCTCATTCGCCCAGGGCTAGGGATCAAAACCCTGAGGTTCGCCAAGCTGAGCGTACCGTCAACCGTCTCACTCGACAAATTTCTCGTGAAGATGTACCGTGCTGGTATATTGACGCTGAACTCTGGCATGATCACTTTGCTTATGGGGATTTTATGAGCTGGTGCGTTCCTGCTGTGCGGCGTTATCTTGATAACAATCCTAGTTTACATGTGATGGTCTCCAACCCGCGCATGCTGCAAGAACTGGCCGAGGACATCTGCAGGGACGCATGGAGCGAGGCCTTCCAGGGTCTCCGCACCTACGTCATGCGCGGGCACTTCATGCTGAGTCAGGACCCGATGGCGCGACGCTGGCAGACACGTGCTAGGCAAGCTCAAAGGCGCCTTCGAGCTCGTCGGTTCGCCTTTTTCACACGGGAAGGAGGGCCTGGCGGTGGCCAATGGATCCAAGACCAGCTCAACAGCTACGACGACGTTGCTGAGCGCCGCATCGTCCACCGTGCGCAGATGCGGCAGCAGGAGGCCTTCGATCACATCGAGCAGGTCCTATACGAGAGGACCTGCAGGAGGCTGGCGGCTGAGATAGTCCAGACGCCCTTCACCGCGCCGACGATTTTGCCGCCGCCGCCAGCCAAGCCCCCTGCTCTTCCTGCGCAGCCACCACCTCACCTGCGCGGCGCACTTCAGGCTCCGCCGAAGCCGCCGCCTGCGGCCCAGGGCAGACCGGGCGCTCAGGGACCCCATGAGGGCGCCCGTGGATCTGGAGCTGCCTCCAGCGGTGGCCCTGCTGCCGAGGGCCCAGCCGACGCGTGTGGAGACGACATGCAGCTGCTCCAGGTGGGCATTCAGCTTCACCTTCGGCGCGCCTCGACTGCATCGACTCCTTCAACTTCGTGGGTCAGCCGTCCCACGTGTGCTGCTCTAACTTCGAGGCCAGCGGCATGGGGTGCCCAGTTCGTCGGGGCCCTCCTGGAGGCGCAGCGCAGGGTCGTGCTGAACCTCTCCCAGGCCGTCTTCGGTGAGGCACCTGAGCCTGAGCGTGGCCCTGCTGCGCCGCCTGCCTCTGTCAAAAGCTTTTCAGGGCGTGATTTTTCTCCGCGGGACTCGGGATTTTTCTCGTCTTCGGGTTCTGCGATTGCCGATGCGATTACCGACGATCTTTCAATTTTGCCGCCCCCCTCGCCATCGGCGTTTGCTTCTGATGCGTCTGCTTTCCTAGGACTCAAAGGGCCTCCTTTGGACGCGCCGACATCCGTCAGCGCGACGCAGAGTGCGAATTCGTTGCCGAGCGAGGGTGTGGCGAGGTTTGATGTTTCATCGAATGTGGCGGGTGGTGGCAGTGTCTCACGGCATGACCTGGACTTGGCCGCCTCCCCAGCTGCGAGAGGATACACGGAGAGAGCATTGCACTCACTTCCGCCGCCCCCTGACGGGCTGGGACCCGAGAGGCCTCCTGAGCCTCCCTCGAATACTAGTGACAACCAGGGTGATGAGATTAGAATG